AGGTAAATGTTAAAAGAAAGGGAGAGAAGGAGCTGGGTAAATTTTGTGTGACTGTCTCACAACAATATCAAGAGTGGAGGGTAGCTAGAAGGACCCAAAATCGAGCCCTTAAAGTAAATTGTCAAGAAAAGGAATCTTTTGAAGCACCCAATGAAGCAGTGACTTCCTTAATGACCCAGTTGGAAGGAGAAAAAACACAAATGATATTATTAGAAGAGGAAAGAGAGAGCGTTAAGGTAGAGGTTAACAGGCTCAAAAGACAATGTCAAAAGAAAGATAGAGAAATAAATCATTTGAAAGAACAATGTGCTGACAGGTTTGACAGCTCAAATGGTAAAAAAGTAAAAAGAAAGAGGGAAGAAGAAGCTTCTCTCTTCAAAATGAAGAGAATGCGAGATGAAATAAACATGCTGACTGAGACTCTGAAGAGGGAAAATGAGGCATTCATATCTAAAATGAATGAAGTGCAAGATGAAATGAATATGTTAAAGAGAGAATTGACTGAGACTCTAGAAAGTGAGAGAAAATTACAAGGTCAGAATGAAATGGTTGAGAATGAGAAAGATAAATGGCATGTGCGAGCAAAGTACCAATAGGAAAATAAGGGGGAATGGATGAAGAGGTGTGATGACATGTACAACTGCATCCAACGTCACACCACACAACTATTAGAGCACTTTTGAGAAACAAAGGAAGAATACCAGAGGAACCATGAGATTGTGTTTCCTCTCAAAGTCATTATGTTCTTCAGATAATGTAAAAATCTTGCTATGAGTTTTAGGGTGCACGTGTAATTCCATCGCTTGAAAATAACGCTATACTTATTCTATTTGAAATGGAATAAAATTTATTTGTGGTGTTCATACTTGACTTTAATATGAATTTTACCTATTAAGGATACCCCTATTTTTAACCAAAGTGACTTGCCATAGATTGAGAGCATAGGTATATGATGCATTGCTAGTGGGTAAGACCTCGACTATTGAGAAGTGAATGTTTCCTTAGACTGATTGTCAATTACTTCTTGACCTAAGAGGGATTTGCCTCTAGCATTGAAAAGTAGGGAACTTCTCTTAAACATCAAATGCTTAACAAAAAAAAAAAATATTCATTCTATTAGTCTTCTTTTTACTCATCATGTTTTTTTCAGAATTAAAATTAGCAAAACTGGGGATTAGACATCCTTATAAAACACGTTCTCAGTTGAAGATCATGGACGAATTAGAACAACACAATGAAGAGCTGAGGAATGAGGTCAACCAACTAAAAGATCAAATGGCCAGAATTCTAGAAATACTGCAATCTTTAGAAAGGAGAAACACTGAGGGGATCACACTAGTTAATGAAGGATTGCCTATTACTCCCATGTATTCACCCGGCTTTATCCCCCAAGGGACAATGGCACCACTAACATTGCATACCACTAGGCTCGTCCAACAGACTAATTTTAAAGAGGCTCAATTCCCACCTTATGGCCTCCCAGCTAGCTATGCACCACCGATGGCTCAAGAGGCATAATTTTCATCATATAATAATGCACTTCTAGCTGTAAGTGATTCATTAATCACTTAACAACAATCCACCCAACCCCAAGGCATGCTATCAAACATCATCGAAAACCCTCAAATCCTTGCAAAATATACTATCCCTAAACCACAAATTGTCCTCCAACCACAAATCATCAACCTGATCACCCAAAGGAATCCACTGATGAGTCACTAACTCATTTAGGGAATTAAAGATTTTTGACATATTTCATTGGATTTAAATCATAAGATAATGCAATTAATTGAAAAATTCAATGGAATGTTGTAAGTACTGGAAAATTTATATAGATCATTTAAATTCTGATGTTGGCAATTGAATTTTTGAAAGAAATTAGACAAAAAGTGACAATTGGACCAAAGAGCAAAAGCTAAGTGCTACAGGACACACTTTGTGGGGACACGAACTTTCGTTTGTGGGGACACGATGCTGACAGAGCCTATAAAAGCAGAAAATTCTGAAAAGACGACATTTTTTTTTTATCTTTTTGTCTTTTACGATTCTAGAGCATAGAAACCTAGGTTTTCATACAGTGTACGTAGAATATGGTAGCTAGGGTATTTTCTTTACATCTTTGCTAGAAGATCTTCATGGAAACTTGGATTTCATCTCATTTTATCTGGTTTATGTAATAGAACAATAACTTCTCATTTCTTCTATTTGCTGCAAACATTTTTGTGAACATGAACTCTATTTCTGCAATATATTTCGATTTTATATTACTTACTTTCCTCATGTCTAGCTAAATATTTTGGGGTTGAATGAGGATTAACTTATACCTTTTCCCTTTGCAATAAACTAACATTAGATATAGCTCAAGATACAAACTTTATTCTAACATTTTGATTCTGAACTTAAGGCATCACTGTTCTACGTAAATGGGGTTGATGAAAAGGATTTCATTACTGGAAAGTTGTGAGCTTTCTTGGACTGGAACCAAAATACTTATTATAAATTGTCTACGAATAAAAGTTTATAATGATGTGGTCTGTTGGATTTTAAATCTTAATGCTGAATTTTTTAGTTGTATCTAAGGAATTAGGACACTAATTTCATTTTAGAACCAATTACCAAGGAATTGGGATTGAGTGTTTTAGAAAATCTGACCATTAGATGAAGTTGTATTTTGAGTTATGCATATACTTGTAAGCAAAGGGAAAGGGATAAGGGATTTCGAACTCAACCTATTTTTAATTGTGTTTAGACCCATCTCTAGTAATTTAAACAATTACATTTTGCAATTATTTTAATTATTACTCCATTTTTAGTCTTGTAGTTTTTGTTCATTTATAAATATTAATCCCAACACTTTTATTTCTATTTTTATAATTCTGCAATTAAGTAATTTTTATTCTATTATAAACTATTTTTGGGTAACCTAGCTAGTGCTATTCTTGTGGTTTGGTACTTAGTATTAATCCCTGTAGACGATAATCTTTTGTTACTTCAACGATTTAGTGCACTTGCCAAAAAGTTTATCAAGTTTCAGGCGGCGTTGCCAGAGATTAATTGTTAATGTCAATTGTAATAAGAATTTGCTAGCTTGGGTTAATAATTTTTGCTATGTTTAAAGTGTTTGCAAGAATTTCTAAGTGCATTGGTTGATGCGAGGCAAGGAGAAGATCAAAAAGAGTGATTCATCTCCAGAACTTGATTAGCCAATTATTAATTTCAAGAAAAAGAACAAAAAAAAGGAACAAACTTTAGAAAAAGAAAAAGAAAAAGAAAAAGAAAAAGAAGAAGACCCACAAGAATAGAATTATGCAGAAATGACAGGAAATCTCAATGAAGAACGAAGGACCTTGGATGATTATGCATGTGCAAGACCGAGAGAAACCCCACCTCTATTGTTCGGCCTCCCATCCAAGCAGACAACTTTGAAATCAAACCTGACCTTATGAGAGTGGTCTAGCAAGAGTAATTTGTTGGACATCCTTCCGAAGATCCCTACTTGCACATTCAGAATTTTTTGACCATTTGTGGAATGACTAGAATGAATGGTGTGAGTGATGAGGCTATCGAGTTATCTCTGTTTCCATTTTCTTTAAAGGATAAGGCAAAGAGCTGGTTGTTATCCCAACCAAAAGGAAGTATCACTACTTAGGATGATTTAGAGAGCAAATTTATGACAAAGTACTTTCCAGCCTCTAGAACAACCAAGTTGAGGCAAGAAATTCTGGCTTTTTCTCAAAGGGAAGATGAAACATTGCAAGAGGCATGGGATAGATTCAAGGAACTCTTGAGAAGCTGTCCTTATCATGAGCTACCTGAATGGATTCAATTGAGAACTTTTGATGATGGGCTGAATGTAGCAACAAAGGCAATGGTAGATGCAGCAGTAGGAGGTTCATTTGCTCAAAAGACCTGGGAAGAAGCAAGCCAAATTATTAAAGTTATGGCATCCAACAATTACAATCATAGAGAAAGGAATTCTTCAAAAAGAGGTGTGCTAGAGCTAAACATATTGGATGCATTGCTGGCTCGGAACAAATTGATGTCACAACAACTAAATTCCCTCAAAGCCAATCTTGAAAACATGAAGTTAGAAGGGAACAAACCAGTGCACTATGTAGCTTCCACCAGTTAAGAGGAATATTATGAGGAAACATGTGGAAATAGATAAGAGTTTGTACAATAGCCTTATTCTGAACAAGTAAGTTATATGAACAACTTACCAAGGTAGCAACAGAATTTTCCTCAGAGGGCATCATGGCAGCAGTAGCAGAATTTTCAATAGAGACCTGTATATCCACCTCAACAGTAGCAATTCAGACCAAATTTGAATTTCAATGCTAGGCCACCAAACCAATCTCACTATTCTCTACCTGCACAAAGGCAGAACCAACAACAAGGACCATAGCAGTAGTAAAATTTTCAAAATTCAGGACCAATGCAGCCACCAAACCAACCAACAAATGATCAGGTATCTTCCCTTGGAAAAGCACTTGTGCAATTGACTCAAACTATGAATTTATTTATGCAGGACACAAGCACAAGGACTTGGAGAATCAGATGGGTCAGATTATAAAGAAAATAAATGAATCAGCTCAAGGCACATTCTCTGGGAATAGAGTGGAAAATCCAAGAGAATATTGCCAAGCCATCAAGTGGAACCACAACTTAAGAAAAAACAAGATGAGAAGGAGGATAACTCAAGTTTTAGACAGGCTAGGTATACTGCAGAAAATAAAAATGGGGAGAATGAGCCTGAACATGAAAAACCAGAAGAGGAAGTTAGGCCTAAGCAAAAGTTGGTGGTGGATGAGGCATACTGGAACAGAACCAAGAAATAGATCTTAGAAGACTCGTGCAAGCCTCAAATTTCCCCTCCCTATGTTAAGTTGCCATATCCACACAGTCCCAAGAACAAAGAGAAAGAAGAGCAATTTTCCAAATTCTTGGACATTTTTAGAAAGCTGCACATAAATATACCATTTGTAGAAGCATTAGAGCAAATGCCTTTGTGTACCAACTTCATGAAGGACTTGCTTTCAAAGAAGAGAAAATTGAAGGAGGATGCTACAATGACTCTTACTGAGGAATATAGTGCCATATTGCAGCAAAAGTTGCCTCCTAAGTTGAAAGATCTGAGTAGCTTCACAATCCCCTGCACTATAGGGAATGTGACCATTGGTAAGACTTTATATGACTTGGGGGCCAACATCAGCTTAATGCCACTTTCTATCTTGAAGAAATTGGGAGTTGGTGAAGTTAAAAATACAAGAATGGCTCTCCAACTAGTTGATAGATCCATCAAGTACTCGTATGTTATAATGGAGGATGTGTTGGTGAAGGTGGACAAGTTAATTTTTTCAGCAGATTTTGTTATCCTGGATATGGATGAAGATTTTGAAGTGCTTGTGATCCTTGGAAGACCTTTTCTAGCCACTAGAAGAACACTAATTGATGTGCAACAAGGGCAATTAATTTTGTGCCTACATGATGAGAAAGTTACATTCAAGGTATTTGAGGCAATGCAGCACTCGGATGACAAGGATACTTGCTTTAGAATTGATACAGTGGATTCACTTATTGCAGCAACAACTTTGAAGCAGAACACTTCTGTCGATCCATTTGAGAAGGTGGTAGCCAATGCAATTATGAAAATTGATGAGGAGAGTGATGAAGAAATGCAAGAGTGCATGCAACAGCTTGAGGCTCAACCAATTTGGCAGAAAAGTTCACTAAGAGAATCATTAGAAGGAGGAAGAGTGGAAGAATCACGAAGGCTTGAGTTGAAACCTCTTCCCTCACACTTAAAATATGCTTTTGTGGGGGAGAAGGAAACACTTCCTACGATAAGAAACAATACCTTATCACAGTTAGATGAATAGGAGTTATTGAGAGTGCTGAGGGAGCAAGTAACAACAGAAAAGGAATTTCCTAAGTTGTACAAGTTGGAGTTTGGGGCATGACTCAACCCAATCATCCAACAATCAAATTTTATTTATTTAGTTAGTTGTTTATTGTTAAACTGATGTTTTGCAGGCTAGAAAAGTTTTACCTTTTTGTTGTAGCAAATACAATTTGGGTAGCAGGCACACTTCATGTCTATGACTACCTCAATACAGAATTTTCTCTTCACAAGTTTACTCTTGCTCTGTTTTATCCTCCCTTGCTGAAGAGTTTAAGCGCCCACAAAGAAGGAACAAGATCCAACAGGTTTAATACTTAGTTATTTGTCATAATAGCTTTTATTAGTAATTTTTTGAAAATATATATATATTAAATTTTTTTTAAAAAAATATTATTATAATAATATTATATTGCTATAATAATATTAAAAAAATAAAAAATTACAATAATAATATTATTTTTAAATTTTAGTTTTATATTTGAAAAAGAGGAAGGAAGCCCAGCAATTGGCGGTAACATGCTCAGACTACGTCTTTGCAGTTCCTCTTGATGCTTCCATCACTAGCCAAGCATACCCACTCACTTCACTTTATGTTTTTCTAACCCTCTCCATCTCTGCTATCTCATTGTGCTCCCCAACTCCTTTTCCGAACCTTAAAATCAATTGTTTAAAGTTTCACAAGGTATGTTCTTTTCTTTTATGCTTTCAACTCTGTTTTGGGGTGTAATTCTTCTTCTCATTTCTTTTCCATTCATGAATCTGTGTGTTTGTGTTCTCTGTTTCCTTACTCTTTCACTTGCTTCTACATTTTGTTTTATTTTATTTATTTTATTTTTATGAGTTTTCTATAGCATGAGTGTTTGATTTTGTTCCTTCACTTGTTCTGAAATGTTGGATTCTTATCTCAAGAAAGACGTTGGCTATTGTTGAAAGTGATTTTTCCATTTTACGGCACAAACTGTCCCCATGTTATTTCTTGAATTTTTTTTGTGGGTTTATTTTTTGATTTCTTTGCAATTTTTGTGTATGCCTCTGTCTCTGTTTACTGCAATTTTTTTTTAAAAATTAAACAATAATGTCTTTGTGTGTCACTACTTAGTTTTTAGATTTTACGCAGTTTGCATCTCAGTATTGATTTTCTAATTTTTCTGAACTTTTGACTTTTTTGGGTCAAGTTCTGCGATGTTTTGAAAAATTTTGGAACTCCTTGCACTTTGGTCACTGTAAATTTGTTCTTGCAAGCTTGCATAATGCATATTATTTTTCTTTTCATTCATCTAAGTGTTACAGTTGTGCTTTGTTTAAAAAATAAAAATAAAAATTAGATATACAGTGTTTTAAGATACTGAGTGCTGTAAGTTGTAAGTACGTGTGATGTCACCATAGTCCATACTATTAATTTTAGTTTTTGCACAAATTTTGTGATAAATTGAAATTTTTATGTGCTTATATGGTCTCTTTTTCTGAGAAATTTAGGGTTTAGGGTTTAGGGATATAATTACACTGCACTTTGGGATATAATTAATTCACTGCCTCCTTGGCTGGCTGTTGTGTTAACTTCATGGTTGAGTGACCCAATTGTTATTTTGAAACTTCATGTTGCCTTGCTTTTTGTTGTTCGGTACCCTTTCATTGCAGAACTTATTCATTGCCAATTTTTTTGTCACGCGCAGTTGTCATATATGATGTTATTCTTATGATATACAATTTTCCCTTGTGTGAATTTATGAAAAGTTGGTCTTACTCATTTTTTATACAGTATGCACAAAATCTTGATAACTGTCTTCTCTTTTGGTGCATTTGCATTTTTACCTGAAGGTTCATTAGTGTTCTCAGCTTTAAATAATTTTTGAGGCATATTACTTTAATTCACTGGGTGCTGTAGATGCTAAAAAAATTTCAATGATATATGATAAATTGACAGCATACCAATGGCAACACCAAACCAATGCATTGTTTGTCACTTTTATTGAGTTATGCCTTTCATATCTTATGAATTTTTGCACAACAATGTTTTGAATCTATTTTGAAAATTTTTGTGTGCAATCCTCTAAGTTTTGTTCACTGTCACTAATTCTTAAACATGGTTTTAACAGTGATACAATTTATTTTACGTGAGTTATTTACTTTGTTGTGAATTTCTGCCTTGTACAAATTTTATTTGAATTTTTAAATTGGTCATTGTCAAATTTTTGAGAATGTACGCTACTTGTGCATCTTAATTTTCTGGGAATAAGAATGCAAAATATTTTTTTGTAATGAGCAGTGTATGCACAACATACTATGTTTTCTCTTTCACATGCTCTTTCCATTGTTGCATCTCCTATTAACTATGATTGTCATGTTATGATTTCAGGTTGCAAATTATTTTGAGTGACCAAATTTATATTCTGAAATTGTTTTAAAACTCATTGTCCTTTAGTGTTGTTAAATTTGTCTCTACAATTTTTATCTTGGTTTAATGAAGTGCTGCCTATTTCTTATTTTTTAGTACTAAAATTCAGTTCATACATAATTGCCATAGACATTTTTGAATATTTTCTTGCACAATTTTTCAGCACACCATGGGTTCCCTTTTTAATGCAATTCATTTTTACCATGAGTGTTCACAGTTTTACAGCACTTGAATGCATAATGTTTTTAATTTCTGGGTGTTGTAAGTGCAAGTACATGTGTTGTTGATGCATAGTTTTGTTATAAATTGCAATTTGTACATGCTTTTATGGTCCTTTGTTAATTTTGATATACATTGGCTGCACTCCTTTTTTTGAACAATCAGGCTTAGATTTTTCATTACTATAAATTATGTTTTGTGCAACATGCATTCTTAACTATTGCTTTATTTTTCTAGCTGCAAAATTTTGTTTTGCTTAGTAATTCTTTCTTCATTATGTAGCCTGCAATTTGTACAAAAAATTTCTTCATTTTTATGCAGTTTATATACATATGTGTTTGCTATCATTTCTATTTTGAATAGTCCAAGTATTTTAACAAAGAAAGCAAGAGGCAAGCCCCCCACCTCAGCTTGATTCACATACACAGGGGAGTCTCTTTTTACTCTCCCTAATTTTGTTTTGTTCTCTGAAATGTGATTTTAACTAACTGTATAAATCTTGCATCTCTCTTGTGCACCATATTGTTTGTGAATTCACACAATTTTTGAATATTGCTGACCACCATGATTGTTTTAAATTCCAAAAAATTGTCATGGTAAGCATTGAACTTAATTTTTCTTGATGAGAGTATGCTTGCTGGATTCTAAAATTCTTTACATGATTTGTCACTTTTCTTTATCCTTTTCCCATGCATTCATGTTGTAAAATGATTGAGGCCATCATTGTCTTTAAATACTTTTAACCCAAATGCCATCCATTCATTTAACCCTTGATAACCCTTTTTGAGCTTGGCCAAATTTTTTTCTCACCTTTACACTACCACCAACCATGCCAAAACACTTGCCCCTCCTTATAACTTAGAAAACATGAGCACTAATTTGGATAACCTACCAAATTCTAAGTTTGGGGTTTCTATTAGAAATTGCTTGAGGACAAGTAACCTTTTTAAGTTTGAGGTTGAGAAATTGTATATGGGTACATATAATTATATATGTTGAGAGAGCAATTTTGGTCAAATGTTGCAGTTAGTAAGTATTCAAATTGAGTACCATTCAATTTACTTAAAAAAAAGAAAAAAAAAGAAAATAGAAAACAAAAATAGAATGAAAAGAGAAATCCAAAATAGAGATTTAAGAAAAACAAACAAAAACAAAAACAAATTAAGAAGAGTTGAAAAATATCCAATGGAGGAGTGCAAATAATACTTCAATTTCTTAGATTTTCTAAGTTATCCCTCATGCTTTTTCTGATGTAAGTAATAACCAGTGACCAAATAATTCCCCACCTAAACCTTGACCACATTTTAACCTTTATAAAGCCCTCTTGATTATAATTAATTGCATGGATAGTGTGAATTAGAAATTTGCCAAATCTGTGTTAAAGAATGGCAGCAAAGGCATTGAAGAGAGTTAAACACAAGTCCAAACACTTGAGCAGCATGGAGTGAAACACATAGAGTGAAACACTAACCTGAGAGGGAATTTAATTTAGTTGTGGTGTCAAATATTGATGGAATTGCTTGTGAATTTTTAAGAATTAATTTGGTTGCTGCAAGAGGAAAATTTGAAAGCATGTGTCAAACTTTTTGGGAAACTAGCTAGTTTAGGTGAAAAGGAAAATGAATTTGCTTGAGGATAAGCAAACTATTAAGTTTGGAGTTGTGATGAGTCACTAACTCATCTAAAAAATTAAAGATTTTTGGCATATTTTATTGGATTTAAATCACAAGATAACATTGGAAAATTCAATGGAATGTTGCAAGTAATGAAAAATTTATATAGATCATTCATATTCTGATGTTAACAATTGAATTTTTGAAAGAAATTAGACAAAAAGTGGCAATTAGACTAAAGAGCGAAAGATAAGTGCTGCAAGACACACTTTGTGGGGACATGAATGATAAATCCATATTTTACTATATTTTTAGCCTAGTTTTTGTTAGTAAATAAGGAGTTAAATAGTAAATAAACTTGAAAATATCATAAAAATTGCATTAATATTCATAATTGTATAAATAGTTTAGAATTTTAGATTTTATTCCAATTCTGGATAATTTTGCTTAAAAAGACTTAATTTTGTGCAAAAACTTGAGCTGAAGATGTTTGAGTTGAAGATTTAAGTGAAGAAAGTAGAGGAATTGAGCTTAAAAGATGAAGAATCAAGTGTTATGTGTTGGACATAGCCACTTTGAGTGCATAGAGTTAACACTTTGAAAAAGAAAATCTATGAAGACCAAGAGCATAGCCACTTCAAGCATTCAGCGTAGCTACGCCCAAGGCCAATTCACTTATGCACAGTGCGTGTAGCCACTTCAAGTGTTCAGAGTAGCTACGCAAAGCTGCTCGTAAACACTCTAAGTGCT